TTCAACGTCAATCGCATGTTGGCGATCAAGGCGAAGCTTGTTCGCTTACCTCTACCACTTTTCCTGCTACGTACTGTGCTTCAAGATACCGGTAATTAAGGACCCCAAAATGACATGCTTAGGAAGCGGATTTCAAACTCCATTCCATCAACAACACAATACAACATGGGAATAGAGCAGCTGCGAAACAATTCAACCTTAATGAATCAATGGTACGGAAGTAGAAGATGCAAGAAGATGACCTGCGCCAACTATAGAAGCAACGTAGAGCTTCCGAGGGAACAAAGTAAAATGGCCACAGTTAGAGGACAAAATGGGACAGTGGATTACTGAACCTATAACAGCAGATAGAAGCGTCTCTACAGTCTCCATTCAGTTCAAGGCAATAGCGGCGGCATATGATATGAAGATGAACGACTTTCACGGCGGTCCTTCTTTTGTGCTTCCGTTTTATGAAAAGGCGTTATCTCTCTATCCGCACAAGAACTACCACCTCGCAGAAACTGCCAAAGGATTACGAAGAAAAGTTGGCCATCTTCCACACTTACTGCAAGAACAAGATCACCGAAAAGAAGATCCAGCCAGACCACATCACAAACATGGACGAGGTTCCTCTCAGCTTTGACATCCCCGTGAACCGTACTGTTGAAAGAACAGGGACGTCTACTGTTTTTATACACACCACAGGGAACGAGAAATCATGCTTCATTGTGGTTTTCGGTTATCAGGCTAATGACTAGAAACTACTCATGGTCATTTTTAAGAGGAAGCTCGCCAAAAGTAAGGTTTGCTGTTGGCGTCATCGTCAAGGTCAACCCAGAAGGCTGGATGAACGAGAAGAAAATGAGCGAGTGGCTGAGAGAAGTTTACGTCAAGAGACCGGATGGCTTTTTCCACACATCTCCGTCCTTATTTATCTACGACTCCATGTGCGCCCATCTCACCGAAACTGTCAAACGCCAAGTGAAGAAAACTAATTCGGAGCTTACCATCATTCCAACCGCTAGATATTGGTGTCAACAGGGCGTTCAAAGTTAAAATGCGAGCAGCTTGGGAGTATTGGATGACAGGATGTGTGCACACATTTACCAAGACAGGGAAGCAACACCGGGCTAGTTACGCCACCAACTGTTAATGGATCATAAATGCCTGGGCCAAAGTATCGGTCTCAACTGTCGTCCGAGCTTTCACGAAGGCCGGAGTCATCAATGAACAGCCAGTCAACAGCAACGTGACTGACTCAGATGATGAGGAGAGGGATCCGGGTTTGTTTGATGCCGCTATCGCCAACTTAATAAATTCTGACACTGATGATAAAGAATTTGACGGATTGGTAAAAGAGGAATGGTTGAAAAAGTGAGTATTTTTTGTGTTTTATGTGGGTTACAAGCGAACAATATTGACAGTTCTTGTTAATGAGTTGAATTAAGTCTTACCTATCCGACTATTTTGTTTCGTTTTATGTGCCTTATAATCCGGTGCGCCTTATATATGAAAGTAGATCCGTTCACTGATACTGCGTCTTATAATCCGGTGGGCCTTATCGTCCGAAAAATACGCTATACTGGCTTTGAGCATAATGTAACCTGGCGGACTATTAGACGCGAACTAAAACGGAGTCTATGTGCAGAGGGACTCCCAGGGGAGCAGTGAGGCTTCATAAATGGAGGAGGCGGGAACAGTAGACAAACACTTCCAGCTGATTCGTACCACTGGTCCCAGGAACAGAGCCGTCAGTGAGACAATCAAGGACAGCATCGCTGCACCAATTCTTAATAAAGAACACTGTCTGGCTTGTTGGGTTGAGCATTTTCGAGATCACTTTAGTTGGCTCCCAGCTCCCGAGGCTCTTTCTGCTCAGGTATTGCGAGCTGAGCCATAGTCGGTTAGTTTAGAGGCTCCATCGGAGGCTGAGCTCTGAAACACGATTACAGTCCTCATTCGTTTTCGAGCTGCCGGTCTGGATTTCGTTTAACCCGTACTATTCAAGGATGGTGGTGAGGTCCTCTGCAAAGCTCAGAGCTCTCTTTTCCGACAAGATTGGAAGGAAGAAGACGTCGCTGCCAATTGTGGAATCAATTAAAGGGGTATCAGCCTGGCTCTGTTATTGGCAAAGCTACTGACTTAAATTCTTGTCCGTTGAGTTTCTGAGAGACAGGAATCCCGGACTATGGAAGTTTCCATCCTGGACGGGGCAGTATAGACCAAGTTTTCACCAGTGTCACCAGTACCGATGACTGACTGTTATTGTTTTCCTCGATTTCTAGGTTGCGTTTGATTCAGTCGATCGCCCCATCCGCTTCTACTTACTTTTTCGGAAGGGTTTCCCCATCAAATGTGTGAGCACTCTTCGTGCCCTGTACTCAAACAGGACAGGTCGCGTTTTCGACAACGATTGGCGTCCATCTGCGTCACCCCATTTTTCTATTTTTATTCAACTTTTCTGTGGATTACATCATAGAGTGTCCTCATACGGAATCTCGCAATGTGGACATTTAAATGCTGTTTAGGGGAAATATTGTTGACGCAGTTTGTGCAGACGATATTGTCTTACTGTTTACTAGTCACAAGACGGCTCAGTCAACCATGTATATTCTCTGTGCAATGGTCCCATCATTCGGTATGTGCTTTGAGCCTCCAAAGCACATAGGACCACCAGCCACTTGGTAATCCTTAGCCTCTTGCGGTCAGGAACTGCATAATTCACCTACCTTAACAGCGATGAGCGTGTAGCTGCGATCGATCGGTGACAAGCGTCTAAAACACATGGGATGGTACTATTTTAATGCCAGACAACTTGTTTCTCAACCGCTCGTGGGCCATATCCCGCAACAATCGTCATCTCCCACTGTGTCCAATTCTACCTCCACTGACCGTGTGTGGAGTCTGCGGACAGCTCCTCCACCTCCACTGTTTACTTTCACGAGCAGTCTGGGCTTTCGTTAACTTTCCGAAACCGTGATTCAGCATCTGCTTACCAGGTGTTTACTCAGCCTCCAAGTTTGAACCCTGACGACGTAGTTGACGGTATTTCCCGCCTGACTATGTTGCCGATCATTGATGCTACTCCTGTTACGGCTGTAAAGGAGGATTTCATCATTTCTCGGTGTTTCGCATAGCCTATTACGCTGATCTGCAACTCCGCCAGACGCTCGGGCCTCGTCTTTGCTCGATATGGAGCACTTCCCGGACGGGGAGTAGAGAGCATTGTTCAACAATTTGCTGGATTCGGCTTGTATCTCTATTTTTTTCGCATGCTTGGAAGCTTTCAAAACGTCATTCTCTTCTTAAAGACGCATTGATTAATCGTCAGCTTCGCCGAGTGCAGTTTGAACATATCCAGCGTTTATATCACTTTCGTCAACATGATGGCGTCGCCACTATTTTTGGCGGAGTATGTCAAACTGCCTACTTGCTTTATGACAAACACATTCCCAGCTTCACTGTTTTCTAGTCGGATGTTCTGTCTCGATGCTCTGTACTAGACACCCGTGATCCTCGTCTTCTGCGGGATCTTAATTTCGAGTTAGTACGATCGGTGTTCACTAAGGAAACGCTTTCCGTTCTTTGGCTTATGGAAGGAGCTACACCCGATGTCGTTCGTCTTTCTACGAAAGATGTGGCCCAGATGAGCTCCGTTTTCGGCAATTTCTTTTTAAACTGTCCTCTTGCATCTTCCCTCTAATGGCCCTACATGAACGTCATTCGGACTGCTTTTGTTCCCAGGATTCCAATCCCTTACGTCCCAAAAACTTTCGACTCATTTCTGTGAACTCTGTGTTCAACCGCCTACTTCACCACATTCTCTAACCAATAAGGCCTGTGTCTTTCTGTGAACCTTCTTCAGTTTGGCTCTCTTTGTAAGAATGTCTGTTTCAAAACCACGACTACGCCGTGTTCAGACGTCTCATGTGTATTCTACACCCATGTTCTTCGCTTCGATTGATATCTTCAAAGCTTTTGACTCCGTTTTCCATGTTTATTTACTCTTATTTGTCTCATCTTTTGGTGCTCCAACATTTTGACTGTTATTTTTCTTTATGCCTTCGCATTTTCTACTTGCAACGGGATCAGCATTCAACCATGGTGTGGTTTCCGACAAGGGGACCCGCTTTCTAAATTGCTGTTCATCACGATTTTGGACGAGACCCTTCGTAGACATGCAGCATCTCAGTGGTGTTTTTCGGCTGATTATACTCATATATATATATATATATATATTAAAAAACACTTAGTTTAAGTGTAAATTGGTTTAGCCTAACTGCGATGAAGAAGCATCATGTATGCAACATCAGTCTCAGCATGAGCCACAAGTTGGTCATACATGGTTGGTGGCATCCGGTTCTGGATTTGTCTGTCGCTGTGGCCTCCATAGGAGAACCACAGGATATGATACATGCTTCGCAGCCAATCTACTTAACTTGGCCGAAGCTAGGGTATCCTCTTCGACAAGATTTGTTAGTTGTTTGCAAGGTATTACTGGTAGATCACTGAATACAGCCACACCTTATGTTGTCTCCCTCCCCTTGTAATCTGTTGTACGAGAAAAGCACAACTTTACATGAACGCCACCGCTCAACCAGATGTACTCGGACTCACTGGAGTCTACGGCTCGTCGGTCTGAGGCGAGCGCCTTCATGTTCAGCGGGTCGCAATTTCCTCCCTCCTGTGTGAGATTTGCTTACTCTGTATCACTTTGTCAAATAGAAGCAACGGTTTTGCCACAAGATCTTTCGCCTACAGGCTACGGAGACAATACCGTCTGCTCATACTCGGTCACATATTATTGCTGCTGTTTGAAATCTGGGCGGTTGGGTCCCAGACTAAACACCAATCGTTCGGTCGCTTGCACCATTTGTATTCGATAATATACTAGTTGTGTTCACATGCTTCTCCCTGTTCCATTTAGCTTCTCCATTCCCACACACCAGCCGACCTTTACTCACGCTGCCTTGCTTTCGCACACCATTGGGTGTTTTCTGTGCTTTTTGTTTTAACAGGACTATTGTCGTAACCTTTGTCTTTTGACAAAACTATTCTTGAAACACAAGACAGTGCATGAACTGGATCAAGTACCATCGTTTCTCTTTTACATTTTGACGGAAACAGATGCAGACGGGTCACATATACTCGGGTACTTTTCCAAAGTGAGTTGTTTATATGTCGGTTACCGCGCACTGTGACGTATATGAATACGGATGGTTCATTTCACTCTTGGATCCAATTTATCGTTGTCTATCTCTATCAGGTAGATTGTGTGGAACCTATCAGCGCACTGCGTAATATGTTCAGCCATTTTGATTTGCGCGTTTGCAAATCTGGATCCATTGATTACCTGGGTCCAGACGGTATTCGAACATTTTAGCCAATTTGCAAAGAAAATCACAACACAGGCGCCATTGAGGTCGGCTCTTTGCCATGTCAACAGTTGTATTCAACCAAACATGTTTCTCATCCTTTGGGACCCAGTCCGGCAATCTAGAGACACCAACCGACGCCAACTTCGAAGTAAGGCTCTTCATTCCTCTTGACCAAGTCATCGGTTAGCTTACCATCCACTTATTCCATCCACGCCTCCGACGCGCAAACAGCCCACGTCGCTGGAGTCGGTTTGCTGGCATGCGTAACACGTGGCCCATCCATCGGAGGCTGGCGCGTGAAATAATGTCGATGAACGACTCATTTCCTCTACCTGGGTCATCAATAAGGTGCCGAATACGCTTATTGCTCACATGGTGCCCTCACCAGACATTAAACTGCAAAGCCACCGATGGTCGAACGTCTGTTGATTTGATTGGCCAGGTTTCGCAACCGTACAGGATCGTTAGACAGATGGCTGCGTTGCAAACTACCTTTAGGGGTGGAAGTGATGTCGCGCCATCGCCACAGGTGGCGGAGATTGGCAAAGGCGCCTCGAGATGTTGCTCTGCGCTTGGTGACCTAATCTTCTGCTCTACTGACGCTGATACGGCTGCCCGTGTAGTTGAATTCCTGAACGTGTTCTAGCTGATCAGCACTAAGAATCGGCGCAGGCGGGGCCCCTGCCAATTTTAACGAATGTCCTCGCACTTTGAGGGTTCTAAGCAAAGCCCGAAACGGTTGACAGCTAGTGCTAGTTTCTCCATTGCTGCGTGACATCTTTGTGCGCTCTCATAGATGATGGCAATCTCGTCTGCGTACTCCTAGTCTAAAAGTTGCTTACCAGGAGGCAGCTCCACACCTTCTAAGTCCTGTCCAATGAATGTATTTCCATGACTTCGTCGATAGGCAAGTTAAAAAGGAAGGGTGACAGCGGGAATCCCTGTTTCATACCATTGCATACATTAAAGGGAGGTGACAGTTTACCATAAATCTTCACTCTACTCAAACTACGCCCATAAAGCGCTTGATAATGTTTACGTATTTCTGATACACATCCTTCCTGTGCAGACATTCACAAAGGACATCTCGATCAACTGAATCGAAGGCACCTTTGATGTTCAGCTACACAACTACGGTGGGTCACCAACAAATATGTCGGTGCGCCAACAATTGATGTAAAGTGATACTATGGTCAGTACAGTCTCTTCTTCGACGAAACTCGGCTTACTCTTTATGAAACAGGTTTTTACGGGCTTCAATCAAGCTGTGAAGAACAACTGAGGCAGGTGACTCAAGGTGCTGGAGGTCATACTGATCCCTCAATGGTTGCCGCATTCCAAACGTGAGTTCCACTCGAAACTCGTGACAATAACGGAGCTGCTTCAGTCTATTGGGGCAGTTTTTCTTCCCACATTTTCACTATTCGATCGTGCAAATCTCCCACAAGAGTATTCCCCCTCCAGAATTTGAAGAAGGCTGAAGTAAGTTCATCTGGTCTCATCTCATGTACCAGCTCTGTGCGAGAGCGCGGATGCTGAGGAAAGATCCATGGAGCGGCGTCGTCACTGACCGGCAACGAATCTGTTCTCTCCGGCCGACCACATTGCTTTTCAAAGTGTTCAGTCTAATGTCCCAAGAACTTTGGCACTTTGTGGATAGACTGTCCACTCTCGTCGCATCTAGTTACGATGACATCAGGTTACCTGCTGTTCGTTTTCAGCATCAAACGAAATAACTTTCGATGGTTACCAAGAGCAGCAGTTGCTTCCATCTCCGACCCGCGAGGTTTCGCTTACTTCAGGCTAGCACGTAGTTTCGCCCCGAGTTATTTGCGACTCTCGTTTTCGCCCCAACTCGGAATGTGTTGGCTAGCATCCAGAAGTTCCAGAGGCTGCGTAGAGACCCAATGTCCAGGTTGGTAATCCGATTTTCCCAATGAAGACATCCTTCAGGCGAATAAACTCTGGCGAACTTGCGGCCAGTTATCTTCACCTATGTTCACTGAGGTTCCATGATGAAGGCGTACACGAAACTTGCGTACAGCAAAAGGCGTACACGGAAAATGCGTACACGGGAAATTGCGTACACGGAAAAGAGCGAGCACGGAAAATGATGTACACGGAAATTTTCACCTTCGGAAAATGGTGCACACGGTATACGGCGAGCACGCAAATACACCAGTTCTATCGCTTTGTACATAAACCACTGCCCAACGTGCCAAATCCCCCAAGACTCATTCAGAATACTCAACAGACAGAACACTGCTCGCCTACTGTAGTTTACCGAAGCCTCAGCGATCCCTTGGCTCTAACGCACTTGGTGTGACCAGACCGCAGACCTAAATATCAGTGCAGAGGAACGGAATCATGAAGGGACATGGTTTTATTGTGCGCATACAGCTATCCCCTACATAGTGACACCGGTGAACCGTGCTGGTTGGTGAAACGGGAATACCAGCGCGTGTCGCAGATGTCCGAAGGATCCGACTGTGAACAAGTTTTTCGGTTTACTAAAACGTTTTAAACTGACAGTCCACATTTCTCATCGGTCCTACAAGTGTGCAACGGAAGAAGTAATTTCGATTACAATTGCACACCTTGTGCTGAAACAAAACCGGGTACATCTGCATCCTGCTACCAATTTTCCGTCCGAGCGATTTTCTGCATAGGACATTTACTATGTGGACACTTCCATGTGCAGCACCATTGTGAGAAAATGGCTATCGGTCATCTGACGCGGTCACCAACCTCATCAAGCCAAGGCTAGGCTAGCCGCGAACTCGGTCTGGTCACACAAAGTGCATTGGAGCCACCAAATCGCTGAGGCTTCGGCAAACTGCAGTAGGCGAGCAGTGTTCTGTCTGTTGAGTATTCTGAATGTGTCATGGGGGATTTGGCATGTTTGACAGTCGTTTAGGTGCAAAGCGATCGAACTGCTGTATTCCCATGTTCGCCGTATATCCTGTGCGCCATTCTCCGAAGGCGATAGGGTACACATTTTTGGTGTATCTTTTTGCCGGTCACCGTTCAGTGAGCGACCACTCAACTCGAATGCCATTGTACTTTGCTACGTATTTAATACATCCGGCTTAGTTGGTTAACGGGTCGTCGTTGACGTCCGCCGAAACGTACCAGGAGATCGGCACACCCAAGTGCGTGGTCGGAGTCCCCGCTTGTGCTCCAACTCGAGCTGCATCTTTGGACGCAGCCTACCCAGCGGTAACTAAACGCGATGTCATCGAATTGCGTCCATGACTGGTTCGAAGCCGGTGTGCACCATGTCACCCTCCGGCGCATGCAGTTTTGGAAGTTAGTGCTCAATGCAACAATCACTCACCGTTCTCATTACTGGAGCGCCTGCACTGTGTTAGCTGCCCAGTGACAGCTTAACAGTGGACAGTTTCCCAACTTGAGTGTTCAGATCCCCAGCCAAGCACTACGGTGATTGTGCCTCTTCTGTAACGAAGGAGTTCCTTCTGTTGCTGACACGAATCATCTTTCACCTAGTCAACGCTACAGTTTTTGGGAGCGTAGGCGCCAGCGCTACATCGCTGTCACTTTGAAACACAGAGTTTACAGTGCAGCTGTGCTTCCAACCCTTCTGTACGGTTATGAAACTTGACCTCTATGGTTGACAGACAGCAGAATCATTGCTGCCTTTGCAGTTTAATTTATGTCTAGTGGGAACACCACTTAAACAATGAGCGTGTTCGGCCTCGTATATTTGGTGCAGGAAGAGCAAGTGAATCACACAACACCATTGTATCACGTACTAGTCTCCGAGGACTGGACCACGTGTTGCGCATGCCAGCACACCGACTCCCGCGACGTGCGCCGTTTAAGCGACCGGGGTGTGGATGGAAGAAGAGGGGATAGGCCAAGCGATGATTTTCTTCAGAGGAATGAAGACCACCACTTCGAACTTGGCATCCGTTGTTGTCTGCCGACTGCCGGGCTGTGGTCCGAACGACGATTAACACGTTTGGTTGGAGACTAGTTGATATGGCGAGCAGCCGGCTTCAGTGATTTGTTTTGTGAGCTTTTTTCCTCCCCCTCCCTCTTAGCCTCCCTTCCTACCACGATTTCACATTCCATGCATAAAATGATACTTGGCATCAAATTACTTATTCTTTACTTCTTTTCTGTATTCTGTGGTGTTTAACATCTCCTAATTTTTTGAATTATGATACAATATCTGAGGTGGGTTTCTCGCTGTCAGCTAATCTGCATTGATGATGGTGATGGGACAGCAGTGACAAGTTGGCACCCAAGCGACTTCGAAGCTATAAACGAGCCAGGTAGTCGGAAAACACCATCTGGCTACTGACTTGGATCCAGTATACCAGCGCAGCTTCATCACGGGCGCTCAGACCAGCATCCACACTCTCTTGACTGGCATTCTAGGTTATATTAGTTCCAAACAGACGCAGCGAAGTAGTACCTCCAGTGTTGCATGCGTCGGATCGTAGACTAAACACAGAGCTCGAATCTTGCGGGCGAGATTTTCGAGAAAGTAAATATCAATCGATAGGGTCTCTGGTGTTCGAACAAGTGCTGCCTTTTGGTCAGTCTGTAACAAAATATGCGCGTTGCGACATGCCAGTCTTAGCGGGGCTCAAGGGCTCCAACTAGATGCGGATGAATTGAAGTTTCACGTCTGCTTGGGCATGAACCTTTCGACAGGAAAAACGTGATTTTGTTTGAGTGGAGGCTAGAAGATAAGTGATTATTGAAGCGAGATGGAGGAGATCGGAGAATTGGGGGGTTGAATACAAGAGGGATAAAATTGAAATTGTAACGGATGATAAGGGTGAAAAAGCCCATAAGGAGGAATCAGAGGATGAATAGGCCTGAGTAGTTGCATCCTTATCCCTGTCCACCCTGCTCAATGCATCAGATATGGTGCCGTTGATTATCCCCTGCGACAGTTAGCACATTAAGGAATTGTTTGAAGAGAAATTCATTGTGTTGCGTGGACTTGATACTCTCGTGTTGTCCAGGCTTAGTCGGGAGAATTAGGGTTCTCAAGCAAAGCCTTTGGTTCAGCAATCCTACCGCAAGTCAGCGGGGCTACAGGGAATCCGCTTTAAGGAGTAACGAACCACCATCATTCCCGCCCCCAGTCCGCATGGCCATTAGATTGAGTTTGTCTGAGCTCTAACTACCGACCAATCTGGTTTGAGTGGCTCTTGAGGTGCAGGATGAACTACCTGTTAGATCTTCACTTTTTCTCGCTATTCCGAATTAAGTACCCAAAAATTTCTCCGCAAAAATTCTAGCCTAGCCGAAGAATAATCAAAATTCCAACAGTCTTGACCACGAAAAACGTGTTAACAAAAACTCTGCCAACGTAGGCAGATAATGCCGCCGAAAAACACTGCCCTCTCAACTCTGAGTCAAAAGTCCAATTAGCTGGGTGTTTGAAAACGCGTTCGTCCGATCGCCTGATCGACCGCACGGGGTAGGCGATTCCCTTCAGCCCAGCTTTCAGTCACCATTACATGCTTTCCTTTTTTCTTTCGTAGTTCGTGTGTTGCAAGTTCCATAGCCTTTTTCTTTTATGTTTTTATCTGATTCCCGGATACTACCTAGCGCAGCTCGGTTGATCATTGAGGCAGGCAATCCATCGCACCACGTTCAGTCTTATTACGATGGACATCTTGAGGGTGTCGGAGACGTTTTTGCACGGTTAGGAATAAATGGTTAACTGCAGGGCGGATGTCCTTAACGCATCGTTTTTTTGCAAATATTGTGTTAGCTGCATAGAAGTTACCACTTCCCCAACTAATTTCGGCATTCCCTGTTGTTTTTAAGCATTGCTTAGCCTGCTCCACATTCCATTAGATGGTCACGCCATTACCAAATGAACAACTTACTTGTTAGGTTGATATCGTTGACTGTAATTGTGACACTGTTATATAACTCCAATTGTTCCACGAGTATTCACAATGTGGACTTTTCGGACTAATCAACCTTTTCTCTACTATAACTCGTATTCGAAATCCCACTTGATTACCCAATCGATTAGATGCTACCGAGAGGTGAACCTTCTAGATAATTATCTTGTGTTCCTTTTCGCTCGGTCCGTTGTGTTACTCCAACTCGAACGGTGATCTCGGACGCAAAATTTTTTCTTAGCGTCTTATCCCATGGGGATCGGTGAAACGCCGTACACCTGATGAATATCGTGCCCATGATTTGAGCAAAAACCCATCTCACTCTCCCTTTTCCGTTTCATGATCTCACATTAGCTTTCATACTGCCGCAAGTATGTGGCATTCCAGTTGAAATGATCAGGGTCATTCGTTCCATCCGAATATGGCCACTCCATTAACCGCAATCGACTACTTCGCCCATGCATACCGCTCCCAATACAAGGCTGTCTACTTTTCTGTTACAGCAAAAGCCCGAGGACTCTCATGACACCAGCTCCTCAACCACGGTCAGCTACAACAATCTCTCATGCATCCTTATATTACCACCGTACCAGTGCCACGGATACGGACGCATGCTAATCGAGCTGAGTGAGTCAGATGTGCTGCACTCTCCCTCGCCCACTCACAAGGAGCTGCACTCCTTGCAATTACACACTCGCAGTAATCTTCAAATTCGATTTGTTCAGCTTAGCAGTTGGCCTTGTCTCACGGTGGCTAACTGACTGGTCCAACTGGATGTTGTTGACACTCGGTGCCTATGCGACTGTGTCCTGTCATTAGAATCCATGGAACAGCATTTGACTGATTTTAGCGCCGTTATGTCTTTTTAATTAGGATCTGTACACCAAGTTGGAGAGCTACGAGTTTCTTTTGTCTGGTAAACGATGAGATCCAATGCAATGATCTTTTTGGCTGAAATCTCCGTTGGGGAAAACTTCCTGGAGAAGCGCATGGCAAGGCGAGACGGATGACCCATCCAGCGAGGAAGCGTGACGTGTTTCCTTCCTTGTGGTTTTCCGACTAAAGGTTAACACACATCAACCCTGGCCATTCACTAACCTCGCTAAGATGTCGCATGTTGTACCCTGGAATTTTAGGGGAATTCAACGCCTTTTTATTTGAGTATTCATGTCACATAGAGTCTTCGTCTGTAAAACAAATGATCCTAAGCTGTGGGTTAGTCTTTAGCTTAGTTATTGAAACGCCGTAGAAACAGTACAGATGTTCACGAAATCTTACACCAGAATTCTGTGTGGATGGTTAATATAATCTTATCGGTAGTCAGGGTAAGCGAACATATGTTTTCGATAATTCATCTTCAGGCTTATACAATTATATGCAAATCAAAATGTGCAGACAGACATTACAAGCCGTTAGTACTAGAGCGAGTTAATTGGACGCTGACAGCGCTGTCTGGTAAGTCAGGACAACCGACCGCGTGTGACCTCGTGGGTCAGAGGTCACCGGCCGTTTGGGCCAGGGCAGTCTCAAGCCTTTAGTTAGCTCTCTGAACACATAGCTCCGGTTCATACAGCCGGATGGCAATTGCTTCAGCGGCTTCTAGTGGTCGCTTTTGGACGTAGTACAAAGCGGTTTTTTGGGCCTGATAGATACCTTAGAACGAATCAATGAACTTTGTGGCGTGCCCTGTTACGGCTGTGTGTGTGTGTGTGGCTGGTAAAGAGTTCGCTGTATTTTCGCTTCCAGTTCTAAGCCCGACCCGGTGGTGTTCCTTTATTCTCTCAGATAGACGCCGGGTTGTACGACCAATGTATTCCGCTCCACAGGAGCATGAAAATGAGTAGATACACATTGAGTTGGCGTGGAAAGGCACTCTTATCCCTTGAGTTTAGTCTCACCATTAGAATGCTAGTGAACTGGATTTGTATCTACACTGCTGGATAGGTGCCTCTGTCTGCAACTGAAAGAAGACGAGGTAGAAGTTCCGTCATAACCTCGCCCTTGTGTGGCAGCTGTAGAAAGACTGGCTTAAGTTCTACTGTCAAAACTACAGGCTTTTTCTTCTTATGTTCCATGTTGGCTCTGATGAAGCTTTCCGGATAGCCATTCTCTCTTAGCACTAAGCGAATGCACTCTAATTCTTCCGGAAGCGTGTCGTCCGAGGAGATACGTTCAGTTCGGCTCACTAGGGTATTTAACAAGTTCCGTCTAAACCTAAGTGGCACAAAGCTGTAGAAGTTTGTGTACTGCCCATTCCACGTACTTTTCCTATAGACGCAGCGCTGTAGCGCACCCCATCAGTCTTTTCATGGCAACATCGAGGAAATAAAGGCGACTGTTTTCCTCAACTTCGCAGGTGAACTTTATTGCTAGACAGCTTTGGTGTGGCTGAACTCAAAGGATAAGAGTGCCTTTCCACGCCAACTCAATGTGTATCTACTCATTTTCATGCTCCTGTGGAGCGGAATACATTGGTCGTACGACACGGCGTCTATCTGAGAGAATAAAGGAACACCACCGGGTCGGGCTTAGAACTGGAAGCGAAAATACAGCGAACTCTTTACTAGCCACACACACACACACACAGCCGTAACAGGGCACGCCACAAAGTTCATTGATTCGTTCTAAGGTATCTATCAGGCCCAAAAAACCGCTTTGTACTACGTCCAAAAGCGACCACTAGAAGCCGCTGAAGCAATTGCCATCCGGCTGTATGAACCGGAGCTATTTGTTCAGAAAGAGCTAACTAAAGGCTTGGGACTGCCCTGGCCCAAACGGCCGGTGACCTCTGACCCACGAGGTCACACGCGGTCGGTTGTCGTGACTTACCAGACAGCGCTGTCAGCGTCCAATTAACTCGCTCTAGTACTAACGGCTTGTAATGTCTGTCTGCACATTTTGATTTGCACATAATTGTATGAGCCTGAAGATGAGTTATGGAAAACATGTGTTTGCTTACCCTGACTTCTGATCATACTCTGGGATTTTGTAAATTCTTTCAAACCTAGCGGAGTGGGTGAAGGCTTCAACACAGTTGATTTTTGACGCTGTAAGAGGTGTTTGGCCTGATCCAAGAAGCTGTAGGGCGACGTAGCTCGCCGCTATCTGTTTAACTTTGGCGACGATCGTGCAGAGACATTGTAACCCCCCACACTCCGTCACGGTGCGATTGCCGCCGTATTGCGCGAGCACAGCGATATTTGTTGGTTGCTATGCGGCAACCTCTTTCTGTGTCTTTTTCGTGCAGCCTTCATTGCCACTGACTTTCTTCCCACTTTCACGGGGTATCTTGATTTCACTTCTCAGGTTACACTCTGAGTCTAATGGAGAATCGCATCGGTACTCCCGAACGGCCTCTGTCAGACCCTGGCCTAATTTTGTATCGTAAATATTGGAAGTGGGAGATCCTGCATTACCTGGCATCTTACCAAGAAAAAGCAATCAATATGT